GTTAAGTGTCGTCTTGACCTCCGAGATACCTGAAAGCAACAGGTTACTGTAATGGGTATCCGTCACTTACACAACTGAGAAACACCAAGAATGGACATACCTGACCCAGCAGCTACCGGTTCTCCAAACGACGTGACAGTCGCAGCAATTGCTACAAGTGCGAGGTTGAATGCCACGATGGTCCAGAACGTGGTGCCGAAGAGCACGTGCTTGGCCAGCTCGTGGTGAATGGTATACTCGAGTAGGTGCTGCTTCAGTGACATTAGCAGCGTGGTGAAGTAAAGCATGAATACCGCCACTAGCGCCGTAATGACACCGGTGACGAGTGTGAGGAACCAACGCGCGTAGATGGGTCGGTTCTTCTCCTGACCATTGCGGTACTTGTAGCCCATGCCCGATTTATTCACCACACTCTCGAACAGGTCTGCGTCAAGGATTTTTTCACAAGGTTAGTCCCGCAGTTTTGTACATGTACAATTCTCTGTATCGTGGCATTGTTGGGCATCGCACCATAGTCTAGACTCTCGAGGTCGCCGCATTTCCACAGCATCTCTCTCTGCCTCCGCTTGTATCACTGTCTCTCGCCCGACGTTACAGCAAGCTAGGCGGTGATATAATACAAGAGGAGTATGCGGTGAAGTGCAGGGGCTTCGTTGCTAGTGGCCGGAGGCAACGAGTGACGAGAATAAGCGGGGTTGCATGCAGGGAAATCTACCTGTCGCCATTGGGCGGAACATCCGTAGACAGGTTTTGGCCAATCGTAGACAGCTTTGAATAGTCCTAAAGTTGCCAGGCTATCGGTATTAAATCGGTGAATACCGATTCGCTGCGAAAGTCCACCACCGCCCACTTCCCCTGAAATTGATAATGGCTATGAGCTCTAAAACCTCGGCTCCTCAAAAGCTCGTCCGAGGCTTGCGTGCTATTAATACTACTCGTTGGAAGATTCCAAAATCATCCGTTTTAATGGATACACGCTAGATTATAATCCGTAACCAGGACAGATGCTGAAAGATTCAGAGCAAGTTTCATCGTCCTCAGAGCAACTTTGTTCAGCTGGTTTGGCCAAGTTTGTAGTGATCACCCTGAAACTCGAGCTCTTCTTCACAGAATTCATGTTATCCTTGCTTCTGGTTCATGCTAAATAATTCACGTTTTCTGTGGCGTACGAAAATCTGGTCCGTACAGATGCTCCAGGTAGAGCGTTCTTCTCGCTGGGCAGAGCACTTGGAAGTCGGCAAATGGACAGCTCAACAGCGGGAACACGTAGTAACGCGGAATGAGAAGATGTTTGGCGTACCGATCGATCTGTAGACACTTTGAACACGCATGCCAGCAACTTGACGGGTGAGTGCCTAGCATTTCGACACCATTGGCTTCTGAGTCGGTGAACACAAACACATCCACATAGAACCCGTAGGCTTTGTCCACAAGTCGAGCGGGGATATTCCAGTCACGGTCTCGTGCTACATGGATGTTGCTGTCGTACACTTGGAGTTCATAAGCCTCTGGAACGGCCCACCGACTATCTCGAAGCAGCTCGTAGCCTTCCAGGGTCATGCCAAAATCGGCGTCATCGTCCCAAGGAATGACAGATTGAGCACGAAACTGCCCCAACAAGGTGCCGCTGTCAAGCCAAAAGTCGACATCGCGCTTGTTGAGCATTGCACTGAAGACACGCACGAGGTCTGTGATGGACTTGGTGCGCTTACGAGCAGTGACACAAACTTCCGGGCGATAGTAGTGGGCATCAATGTGTCCTTCAAGCTCCGCGCACCAAAAACTACGAGCTCCATTAGGCAGACCACGCATTAGAGCATGATCAGACTCCGCAAGCTCGGAAAGCAGCCACCAACACAGCGATGAGATGAGCATCGACGCCAAAGTACCCGCTGTCCATCGAGAATGTAGCAAGTCACGCAATGCTGGTCTCCACACCGTCATGAATCGATGCATTCCAATAATTTGTTTAGACATCGATGATAAGTCGCTGGATATTCCACACCACGCGCAATTGGTGTCAAGTCGCCGTCTTGCGTTCCACCGGTGTGCAGTATAAATTCTAGGGATCGCGCTTCAAATCCCTGGCTACAGGAATTATCTTATCTGAGTGGATGTCCACTCAGATTTTTCCCAAAGCAGCTTTTCCTATCCCAAATATTACACTAACAGTTTTATTTAGATAAGAAGTCCCGTGAAAAATCTGAGTGGGCATCCACTCAGATAAGATTATTCCGTACAAGCTACCGTACCTGTGACGGGGTCACACAGCACCTTGCGCTAGAGGAAGTTATCTTCCGAGAGTATATAAACTCTCAGTGAACGGCAGTTCACAGGTAAAGAGAGCGAAGTGACCTAAATAAGGTAGATTGTAAACTGAGTATATTTATAGGTAGGTTAAGTTTGGGTTTAATACAAACTATTAGTTACCTATAGAAATGCAATGTCATTTAACCAATGGTTGGCTTTGAACGACCTTGGTACCTTGTACCAAATATCCCGGAGTATGACGTGTCATACTCCTGAAGTGTGAAGTGTCACACTTCATGTAACCAGGGTACACTTAGGGCTACGTACCCCGTTACATCCTTTCCCACTTAGGTTCGGGTTTACCGACCAATCAGAATGAAGAGGTGTTCGTCACAAACTCTCATTCTCAAAGTCGAAACCCATCGTCTTGGCTGCGCGAGCGCGGCGGAAGGCTCACTTCACAGTTAGAGCCTCGAGCAGCAACCTGTGCGCTCTTCGTCTAGGTCTCCCACTTCGACCGTTTATCATGCCTCGTGGCACTGCAAAGAGCGGTGCTAAGACACGCTCCAAGGCTGCTGCCGGTAAGGCACAAGCCAAGAGCACTAAGCCTCACGGCAAAGGCTCTGCACTCAAGGAGGCTACTCAGGTGGCCTCCGAGGCGATCGGTTTCTCGGGTGACGCGGCTGTGGACAAGCGCGCAAGCAAGCGCCGCAGCCCGTCGCCCTCATCTTCAGACAATCGTCCGAACCCTCGGTTCATAGAACGTGAGTTCAACTCTGGCAGTGAGGAAGATGCCGAGTCCGAGAGCACGACACGATGCTCTTGCGGGCTCTGTGGGAGAGACACAGACCCAGTGCCCAGTGAGCACAAAGATGACAGCGTGCAATCGCTCGCTAGTGATCAAGGTGATCACAGTCCCACGACCTCTGTGCGCTCTGAGAGTCCGGCCGTCAAGGCTAAGGGCGCTCCCAAAGCCGGTGGCGATGAGGAAGAGAATCCTCGCAAACGTCTCTCGCTTGCCGAGGGTCTTGTGCGTGCTAAGGCCTCTAAAGCCGAAGGCACCAAGCCCTCAAAGAAGCGTACAGCCTCTAAGTCTCCACTCGGCGAGGAGAAGGAGACTCGTCGCTCCTATCGGAGTATCTTCGACTCCTCGGATGAAGAGGAGGAGAAGGAGGAAGAAGAGGAAGAGGAGGGTGCTATCGTTGAGCCCCGGGAGGTCTCGAATGACCTCGACCAGCAGCAGG